TCGTCGCTCAGCAGCAGCAAGTGCTGCAATGTTCAGCTTTGGCAAGTAACACGCTGACAAGACTTTAAGTGTTGCAAACGCCACACGTGCAAGCACAGCTTCTGCTCCCACTTTCTCCCCCCCCCCCCCCCTCTCTTTCTCGCTCTCTCTTTCTCTTCCTTGTGGCACGCACAACTTTCACTTGTGTTTAGCTCGTAAGTATGCAACAAATTTCGTGTTTCTTTTTTATTGTTTCGAACCTCATGACTGCTTGACACGCAGCTCCACCTACCCCCATCCAGATGGAGCGTGAAGAGTGGAGAGTGTGGCGTTGTCTTCCTGTTGTAAGCACTACATGAGTACGAGCAAAAGTCAAAAGTCCTTAACTTTACCGCCAAAAGCTGCTTGTTGACATTTTTTACGCGCTTGCAGCTTGTTGGCGGCAATTGCTTGATAAACTGTAAGATGAATTGCTAATCAAAGATTGCTCAATGAAGAAATATTGATCGAAAAAAAAAAAACCTGAAAACTAATTGAACAACTTATTTAGTTAACAAAGTTGTTGATAGTCAAATTTGATTGCCTGCTCAACTGATTGAGTGAGCCACTTAAAAGCTTGCCTTATATTTTCAACATATTTTTAAGTTACCTTGTGAAGCATTTCTTTTAAAAATGGTCTGTTAAGTTTTCCGCTTTTCCGGATGTTTGCCGTGTTAAATTTCCGCTAGCGTGGCTTAAAGAATCGCAAGCATATCCATCACTCGCATAGCTATTAAGAACGACGCATGTCCTCTCCCTCTCTCTCTCTATCTCTTTTGCTCTCTCCCTCTGGCTCACTCTATCTCGTTTATTCTGTCTGACGTTCACGCGAGCATGGCATTTCCATTTTTTAAATTGAATTTTTCCGGCATTTTAATTTTTTATTATTTTAGGAAATTAAAAGCGAAGCCGCCGCCTGTCAACGCCGCGAGGCAGCGCCATGACGGCAGGAATATCTGCCGCGAAATTAGTTCATATGAAATGTATGATATAAATAAATATGTGTGTATGTGTGTAGGCTTGTATATTTGTATGTATTCAAGCTGCTTTATCGCATCAGCCTCTATTCAGCTCGAGGTATGCGTAATGCTCCAGTGCAACAAATAGATATAGGTATGTCTATCATATGCATGCATGTATGTGTCGCAGAAGTCTTTGCACCGCCAGCTGCTGCAACGACTGAGTCTCCAATTAATATACGAGCTCATGATTAACTTGGCTGGTTTAGCTGGCATTTGTTGTCGACCGACAGTCGCATTAGCTGATTGGCGTGAGTGGCTTTCGAATTGGGGCTAGCATTTCAGTTGGCAATTTGTGGGCTAATTTGAGTATTCAATTTACAAACGACTTACCTGCTCAAAGGCCATTAGACTAAACTAGCTGAGCATGTGAAACACTATATTTGAATTAAGGGCAGACTGAGGACATGGAAAATATATGCAGAGGGAAATGAGATTTACTCTCATAGTTTAACAAGAGAAAAATGGACAAAAATGAAACTAAATTTAATTCAATTTAAGTAAAAATATTCTATAATATAAATATGCCCTTTTCTCTATATAAACTTAAACAAAACTTACTTCAATTACTTGATATGTCACAAAGTATTATCATCAGAGGTGTGCCATTAAGAGCCGCCGTGATGAAAACCCTTAAAGGTCAGATGATATCTGCAAATTGCTTCCCTGGTGCGCACTTACAGTGCAAGGCAATCTATTTTCGTTTCATATTTCTGCGCTATAAATACCAAGTAAGAAATATCAGCCCTTAAGTGCACTTTGTGCCACCACCCACCCGGCTAGCCCGGCTACCCAACCACCTCGAGCAATCAGCAGCAACTGCCATAAGGTTTTTCGCTGCAATCCAAAACCAGTCACGGATTTCATCAATAATTTCATCTTCAAATTGCTTTATTTTTGGAAACCTAACGCCTGGACAGGGCGTGGAAGTAACCCTCGAAATTGAAAGAAAAATAACCTAGAGAATTGATGATTAATGCATTTCATTTAATATACCCTACACATGTGTAACAAAGGGTATGATGCTGTTAGTGAAAGTGCTGGAATTTCTTTTTCTTTTTTTTGGCTAATATATTAATTTCACTCTAGAGCTCATTGATGATCATCAATGAGAAGCATGCTGGGTATTCTCTAGTCAGTCAGCTTGATTAGTTCAGACTAAATTGTAACAAAACTGTTGTTGTTGTTGTTGTTATTGTTGCGCTGCACGCTTCTTGGCTTTAGCCGCTTCCATATTTCAGCTGGCGATTCGCAATTCGCTTCACATTTGCACTTTAATGATTTCATTTGATGTTTTGCTGATGTTGCCACGAGCAACGAACGCAAACGCACAGACACTCGTGCATCTGCCGCACGGGGGTTGCGACGAGGGCTGCTAGTGTTGCACACGGATCAAGGGCGGAGCGCGGCAGGGGCGGCAGGGGATGCCAGGTTGTTGTTTCTTTGGCAACCACACGAAATACAACTACAAAGTGTAAATTTGTTTTACATTTATGATTTGTGCTGAAATCGTGACTAGGAATTCTATTTACGAGTGAAACTTCTAAGAATTTCAAGTAAACTTTGGAGTATTACAAATGCTACAAAAGGAAAAACAAATACGTGTATATTTATTTTCTTTGAGCCTATGTTTGCAGCATGTCAATAATTGATTTCAATTTCAATTAAATATATATTTATTTCTATTTAAATTTTTGTATTTAAGAAGGTTTCCCATGTCCAAAGTTTTCAGTTCTTTTTATTTTATTTTATACATTTTTTTCTTTTTTTTTTCGCTTTCTTTGTTTTCATATTTTTCGTCTATTTTTTTTGCGCCGTACATAAGCTTAAAGTAATTTAACTTTTGACGAGTTTTCATTCTTTTGAGCCGAAACTAAAGTGCGCTTGGCATTAAAAACTTGCAAAGTTCTTAACGCACGATTCTAAAGAAAACTGCATAAGAGAAATGCAAAGTTTCCATAATTGTTTTCAAAGTGTTGTTGCCCAACTTGAATATATTGAGAAAGTTCGGTGCAGCGTAAATTAATTAAAAATTATTGCTGAAGCGCGGCCGGCTAAGGTGAAAAATGTGAAATGGATTGTTTAAGTAGCCTTGCGATATCTGATAAATTTACGATTATTTTGCATTATATGTTCAGGCGATTTTTATTGTGGGCTATTTAGACATAATATTTATATAATATTGCTTCATATGAAATGCAGTTTACTTAGATTTCTGTCAGCTTCAGCTTTTTATTTAGACCCATTTTGGGCACTTGAATTCCAATTCGAGTATCATAAATTGTTCACAGCTCTGTTTCAATTGATTGATATTTAACTTGTTGACACAGCTTCAAAGCTCGCAGTTGTTTGCTTTGCTTGATTTGTTTTTTTTTTTTTTTTTTTTCAATATTAAAACAAAATATAATAAATAAATAATAGAAGAAGCCTTAAGCTGTCATTCCAGGAGGGCAACAAATGTCGCAATGAAATAAAAGAAAAATGCTTTTCGTATTTTCGCTGCTTCCTTTCTTGTTTAAACATTGCCACGCCCCCACTTGTGTATTTATGATTATTGTTATTGCACGAACCGGCCACGCCTCTGCCGGCTGGCAGCGCCTTCAATTTGGGGCACTGTCGTCAATGGTTGCCACAGCTGTTGCTGCTTGTGGTTGTCGTTTCTTAACAACTTTTCGGGTCTGTCGCTTAAGAAATCTTAACGAGCAATACAAATACGTATGTTTGCCTCACTCTCTCTCTCTCTCTCCCTCTCGGTCTCACTCTTTGTGTGTGTGTGTGCTCCACTTGCCTGTGGCCATTCGCTTGGTTCACACGTGCTGGCAATTACACTGTAGCCACCGCCAACGGAAATTGAAAATGCATTGAGTATGAGCCGTAGGCGGCTTCCGAATCAAGTTTTCGTTGCTTCAGGCAGCACACACAATAAAACACACACACACACACATACACATACACATACACATACAAACGCAAGTCATCATCTTGTCGTTATGAGCTTTCTCTCTGCAAAATTATTTGAACATTTTTTAACGCGCTGACATGCGAGTTTTTCATTATGAATGGAATGCACATGCAGCCATCCTCGCATCTGAAGCTGTTTTTTGACTTTCAGGTGCAATAATAGCGCACAAGTCCCGTTTCACCTATATTGTAGTTCGCATGCTCCGCATGTTTGCCCTGCTGCTGACAGGTGTGCGCCCTGCATGCCAGCGACATGCGTAGTTTCTCTTTTGCCATTATATTGCATAACTTAAGTAATGTTGCTCGGAAGTATGCCATCGAGTCGTAGCTGCTGCTTAGCAGATTTATGTGCTCGCTCCATAGTCAAACAATAAAACGAAGCACTTTGCTGCTTGGCAAATTTGCATGAGAAGCGAAGAGAAGAAGAGAGCAGAGAGAGAGGGCAGAGAGAGAGGGCAGAGAGTCTACATATGTATTCTCTTTGAGAGTGCTCAGTCATATAGAGTGTCTGCATTTTGTATTAACTGCATAGTGAACCAATTGAAGATCTATATCAATATTCTCCTATATATATTAGCTTCTGCTGCTTCCTTAGCTCAATAAGAAAGACATCTCAAAGTGCCAGGTCCAACAAATGTTTGCTCAATATTGCGACTGTCGCCTCTAATGAGCTTAGCCCGCATACAACATTCAATTAGGAGACAAATCAAATGTGGCCACAAAGGAAGACTAAACCAAATTTCAATCAATTTGGACTAACAAGCGACAGATTGGGAGCCCAACAAAACCAATTGGTTTGCCAAAGGCGAGGCACAAAGCAGCGCAGCGAACGGGCGAAAAGATGAGAAACGGCATAGAATCAAGAGAATTGTCTGCTTAATGCCGACGACAACAAATGCAATTGCAATCGAAATTGCTATTGGGATTGGGACTGAGAGTGGTGCTGGGAGTGGCACTGGGAGAGGGATTGGGATTGCAGTGCAACAAAATTTCGCATTTCATTACAAGCCCCAAAAATCGGCCAAAGATGCCGCACAAAGTGAGTGTGGGGGCGTGTGTGGGCGGAACGGGTGGGGGTATGGTAGCTATTGCGTTGGAGTAAATCGATTTGTGTTGCGAGCATTAAACGCCCTGAAAAGCGACTTAAGTCCAGACAGTGGACAGTGGACGCAGTGGATACGGGCGCAGGACATGACCAAAGCAAGTGGCATCATTACTCAAGCAAATGGGGTCATCAACAGCATCAGTCGATGGACCAAGTACTTGTTGGCAAGCACCAGCCGACAGCCAACAGTTCACACACACATTCCACAACAGCAACAACAACAACAACAACAACAACAGCAACAAGAACATGCAAAGCAAGTGCAATCAATTTGGCGCAGCCGAAGGATTCGTAGCCCGCTTCTTCTGCCAACGCCCGTTGCATTGTGGGTGCAAATTACGTGCCTGATGCTGATGCTGGTAATTGAAATGCAAAAATATTTGGAAATTTCCATAGAGCTTACACAACTCACACAACGGCTGGGCATGGCCCCAAATGCAGCAGCCGACGGAATGCGTTCGCATTTAACAAAGGGCGACAGCAAGAGCAACAACAACAACTGCTGCTGATGATGATTATGCTGCTGATACTGATGATGCATTTGCGGTTAATGATGATGAGCATAAGCAACTTACACGAAAAGTGAGAAAATGCCAAGATACGTCTGAGCTATTCCGCAATGAATGCTGCATATAATACCCTGTAATTTAACACAGATGGATATAAAGAGCATTCAAGAACATAAATATGTGATTGTAAAATATTTTTTATATACCATTACAATCAAACTGACATGATCTGCCATATATATAAAGATACATATATAGTTAAATAGTTATATTCGTATTATATACCCCCTTATATACCTCATTGTTTGCCTGGGTATTCAAAAGCCGACTGTAATTATAAGCGCACACATAATATTTGGCATATATATTGCGCTCCCTTAGTTCGAGTTGAGATAGTTTGCATCCCAGATACAAGAATTTCGTAAAGTGGTTTGCAACTGTGCTCAAGTTGTGGTTCGACCCGAAACCCACGAGCTTCAGCTTCAACCAACTGCACCCAAGTTAAGTTCACTCAAGTTCGGTTCTGTTCTGTTCTGTTCGGTTCGGGCTTGGTTTGGTTTGGCTAGTTCGCTTGGCTTCATTGCTTCTGTTTTCGCTCGAATGCGTCTGGCAATTTCAATGCATCGACTGGCACACATGGCGTATGCGTAATATTTGTTTATGCATCATAAGAGCATGAAAATGTTTATCGCAAACATGTTGCACTCACTGTAGACACTGCAGCAGGCATAGATAGCTTGGGACTAGTCAAAGAACCCATAAATACCACGAACGGGAGGCATTAGTGGACTTTTGAGTAAATTTACTTTATAAGTGGGAAGCGAAACTATTTTAATTTGCATAAGATTTCTCAGAAACTCAACTCAAACTTAATCGCTTAGAAAGTGGGCAAAGTTTGCTCTGTTAACACTTGTGTCCATCGGCAATATATAATTTACGCCATTTTCAACACTTTAAATGCGATCGAGAAATATTTCAGCTAAAGAGCTTGACTTTCCAATCAAATAATGAAACAGCCAGCGAAAAGTTGCAGCCATTTCGAAAAAGTGAATAAATTCACTGGGCTGTCCACACACACGGCGACTGTGTGTGCCGAATGCCTGTGGATTGCACGAAATGCACAGGAAAAAGGACAACCCGACGAATGGACGAGACGCGAGGCGCGAGACGAAGGGTCACCAAAGCAAATACCCGTAGTTAACCAATACGATTCAAAGAGTCAGAGATTTTCTACCTCTTTTTCGTGTTTTATATGCTCGGCGCCAATAAATGTTTTTAAGACCAAATTTTTTCTCGCTTGTCAAAATGATTTTTTGTTGTAAAGCCGGCAAATGTGTAAATGGAGCCCGAAAAAAATAAATAAATAAATGCTATAAAGCATAATATTTATATGCAACTGCGCAAACACTGAGCCATCCCATCGATCACAATAATTTAACTCGTCTCTCTGGGGGAACTGCAGCAGCTATGGGAATTCAGTTCGGCCTCAGTTATAATCATAATATTAGATCAATTTTAAGAGTTATCTGTTTAAATGTGCCAAAGTCTCAGCAACAAAGCCTCACATTTTGCCTTATGCAAATTTACTTTTAAATTAGATATTTTTCGTCTGGAGTTGCCAGACAGTTTTTCACTGGCAAATGATTGTCAGAGTTTGCTGGTCGTAAATCATCTTTGGCCCAGCTGTCGCTTTGGCATCGCACTGGCTGCTATTTTGCTTACCAATTTTGACAAGTGGCGCGCTGCCTGTCCGAGTGACTGATGCAGCTTTGATGATTGGGATGCCCGAACGGGATTGCAGTCCAAACAGTGTCGCAAGTTGTTGACTGATTCGACCCCAACCAACTTGGCCTGGCCTAAACAGACTCCTCCTATTTCGAATGATTTGAGCATCATTTAGCATAACTGGAGATGTGAGAGATGTGGCTACGCATAAGTGTGTGTGTTAGTGCAATACAGTTTGACATGCACAACAGTTTGACATGTTTGCTTAACTTAATGAATGCTATTATTGCGGAATGTGCACGATTTAATGCATTGCCATTAATTGAAAATGCAATTCGTTTTCGATACTGAAAAAAATAAATATGTAAATAAATTTATACAATAAATTAAAAATAAAAATGCGTACTCTTATAGAGACTCAGTTATGTTTGTAATTCTGCTGCAATACATGTATATACATATATGTATGTATGTATGTATGTATGTGTGTCTATTCGTTATTTATGAAATCGTGTGATTTAAATGCACGATAATGTCCGCTCCCATTCAATAACATCAATTGAACTGCAACACGTGTGCCATATGGCATTCTATAAATCGTTGTTTTTTTTTGTTGGATATGTAAATGATACACACATATATAAATAATATTTTTTACTGTCGCTTATCCCATTCATGGCATTCATATTTAACCACCGTCACGCTTTGCTTCTCAATTTGAAGCATCAGTTTTAAATAAATATTCCCACAATTTTTCAATTATCATTTACAAAGCATTGCGAGAGTTTTGAGCAAATTTGCAAATTGCATTTGGCATATGCAATGCATATTAACTATGCAGTTTTTTCCCACATAAATGAACTGTCAATCATTGTGCGGTAACTACTTAAATAGATAATATACAGATATTAAATTTCCATTTGCATAAATTATAAACTGAAACCCTTTAAGCTTTCCATTATATGTGTGACATGATGTGTTAAGCTACTGAATTACCCAAACAAAATTGAGATGAGCTTTAATTGACGGCTCATTAAAATTATTTTGAAATTCAAATTGAATATACATTTTATATAAATATACAGAGCTGTCTGTCCTTAAAGCTCTCTGAAAGGTTCACTTCGAACTTTCTGTTTTACGATAGACTTTGCTTGGCTTAGAGAACGAATTCCTTATTAAGAAAATGGCTGATTTGGCCACGCTGGAATGGCTACAAGGTGAGTTTTTAATACATCCGTCGCCGCATTGCTGAGGGCAGAAACCCTCGCATAGACACGCACGTTGACTACGCGTAACAATAGCAACCCTTAAAAGTAACATTCACTAAGATATTGCTCCCCGAAATGCCATAAAAAGCAGAGCTCAAGACCGAGCTCAAATTTACAGCTGCTGATCTTTTGCTTTATTAAATGGGCTCATTTTTGCCTTTTTTCCTTTTCGGCTAGCTAAAAGTTTTTGCCTCTTGCGTTACCCTTGCGCCACGCTATACGCAGGGGACAGTTTGACATGCATTTGGGCCCAAGGGTTGCCAGGCCAGCCCAATCTGAGGGTAAGCCCGCTCACCTGAATGCGAAAAGAAGCAAAAAAATATATACATATATATTGAAACATCTTATGTGCCGAATTCGTGGACTATACATAAACAATTATGTTGGGTCTATGTGACTGGGGGTAGATTTGCACTGTCTGGCTAACCCCTGGGGCTCTACACTCATGCGGAAAGCAGGCATATGGTGGACCCACGAGCCCGACCTGTTTATCTATGGCTGAACTAGCTGAAGGCTATTTACCTAGCACACAGCTCGCCAAAGGCCCAGAAATTAGTTTATTATCAGTCTTAAGATTTGCCTGCCAAGACAGAAGCCAACAAACACACATATCCAAAGTCAAGTGGGCGTGGCAAGGCATAAATAAACTCAATTTATTGTTTGCTTTTAGCAAATAAAGAGCAAAAGCCATAAATATGCAGGCAAAAGTTTCTTTTGCTCTTTTTTTTTTCTTACGCATTTTATATATTGTGGTCTCTGCTCTGACTTTATATATATATAAGAGTGTGTGTGTGCGTGTGTGTGTGTGTACTCTGTGGCAATGTTGGCCGCACAACTGTACATTGAGTGCACCCAATCCAGCAATTGTTTGGCACAAATCGGCTCCACTCTTCATAAATATTTTAACAAAAGCCGAACGTCAACAATTGTGCAATAAAAAAAAACAAGCAATTTTCATTTTATAGCTTTCGCATAACAAGCAACAGGCAACAGTCAACAGGCAACAGTCAACAGGCAACAACAACAGCAACGGATTCCCAACAAATGCAATATTCATATGCATGAGAATGCCCGGAGCAACATTTGTGGTCCAGCAGCCATCGCAGGTAACGGACTGCGTCAAGGAAAGCTGATAAGAGGAAAGCTGCTTGAAAGCTTGCAGGAAAATCAAATATTGCTGCTTAAGAATTTCAGTTTACGTAAAGCTCATTGTAGAAGTGCTCATGAAGCTTGTGTTTTTGCTGAAGCTCTAGATGCATCTGAGACTGCATTGAATATAATTTTTGCAGCTTCTCTCTATTTCTCTCTCACTCTCTCTTTACTTATATAAATATACATATATGTATATCCAAATATTTTCTAGCCTAGCCTGCATATAAATTTATGAATTCAAGCTAAAACTACTCTAATACCTCTTAAAACTCCCATTATCCTAGAGCAACAACAACAACTTTGCTGCTTTGCTGTCTAACGCCTGTTTATGCGCTTGACCTGTGACACAGCATTTCAGAAAAGTGTGTATTTTTTTTTATATATTTTTTTTTTGCACCTTGTGTTGACTTCTGAACATTGTGTGACAGGTGCACGAAGCCCGAAGGGTTAAAAGCTGTGAAATATCACACAGCAGCTGCGTAAGATGTCAACTGCAGCTGGCAGCTTCGCAATGCTGCTAAAAATTGGTGATGGCACAGCGAGCGTAAAACGTTTGAAATCTACCAAATATGTGGAGTATTAAAAAACATGAGTAAAACAGCAAATTGGCCTTTATCTGACAGGTCACATTTTGGTAAGCTATTCTACAAGCAGTGCCTATGCTTACCCCTTTATCAGTCAGTCAACAATTGCCACCGACTTCAATTAGTGCAACTATCACTTATAATACCCACATTATAATAATTAGCTAAGGGCCTGACCACACTGGATTAACTTCCATCCACATAATTCTCTAACAGCTCTGTCTGTTAATTGAATAGCAAAGCGTTGCCAGAAGCCGCAGATTTTGCTCATCGTCGACTCTGGAGCATAATTAATTCCCCGCTAATTAAACGTTGTACATATTTATATTGGTTGACTCCTTCGGCCGCCCACAGCCCAGTGCCCTAGCTGCCTCTGAGTCTGCCAGTTTGTCTGTCTGGTTAGAGATTCTGCTTAAAAATTAACCACTCGCGCTGGCAATTGAGCGTGGCAGACGTGACGAGCGATTTGCAAAAACCGCATTCACAGCCAGCCAGCCAGGCAGTCAGACCGCCCGCCCAGTGGCTAATCTGGCTGCCACGCCTTGTCTCCCCCTTGGTTCAATTCACTCTACCATTTTTTCCCACTCACCAAGTTGATTAATTAAATTGTTGACAATTTTAAGAGCTTTGCTCGTTCCCGAACTGCACTGCACGTTTCACATTATTCACAGCTTAACATATTACTCTACCTCTCTGTCTCTCTGACTGATTCAGTCTCTCTCTCTCTCTCTCTCTCTGTGCCCCTCTCTCGCCATCTCTTTCTATACCCAGCTTGTTGTTGCAATCTGTTGTGGCTTTATTGCTTTGTACTGGTCCACTTTGTTGCCTGTGACAAATGCACTAGAAAATTGGCTGGTTTTACGTTACAGAGTGAAAAAGAGGGCACGAGAGAGAGAGAGACGCACAGTGCGATTGAAAGAAGGAGAGTGAAAAACGTAGGCACCTTATAGCGTTTATATATAGCTGGGAAATTAAGAGCCGGAACAGAAAGAGAGAGTGGAATGAATCTGAGGAGGGGAAAAATATGTGGAAAAAGAGAGCCCAAAGAGAGAGAGAGGGAGAGAGAGAGAGAGCATCTATACATATATTTTATGGATTATGGATATTTAAGAAAAAGCAATTCTCCATGATTATTCAAAATTTGCTTAATACTTAAATAGTTCTTCAATACTTCAAGTTGAAAAGTGCAATAAGAGTAATATAATCCGCTAGTAATTAAAGTTTGGTCAAGTGGGCTTAATCAAGGAAGAGCCATTAAATTTTATGCGCCTCTTATTCAATGAGCTTGCAGCTCAGCTAAACCTAGAGATATTCGAAAATACGTTTGTTTTGTATGGGCTTTCGCTAGTCGAGTCTTGTATTTATATTTACGAGCCTACGCAGCAAATGGCCTGTAAAAGTTAATGCTTATGTGTACACACACATACACACACACACACACACACACACACCCACATACACACGAACAGCACAGAGAATATCCATTAATCCATCAACGTGCGCCGCATTAGCACTTAAATTTGATGGCAACAGTGATAGAGATAGAGAGAGACAGAGACAGAGACAGAGACATCGTTGTGGGAAGAGTTGAGGGAAAGAGAGAAGTTCAGAAGCAGATTGAAGCCGTAAGTCAATTTTAATTGAAACCGCAACAAAACAATTAAAACTAAGCTCGTCCAGAGCCAGAGGACCCTAAAAATGGGGCACGCTCCAACTGTTTTCAGGACCGAGCTATAAACTTAACTTTGACACCAAACTCAATTAAAATGTTGTATAAAAATTGCATATGTATGCGGGCAGTATGAGGAGTATCTTTAACTAACTAGTATGTAGATCCGTTCCGGACCGACTGCCGTTTCCTCTGACACTCCCGGTAAGTCCACTTCCCGCAGCAGCTGCTGTTGGGCTGCATAAATTAATAAACTTGATAGACTCGGCAGTCGGAAGAGAGAGAGAGGGAGAGAGAGAAGGATAGTGGGAGTGCGGGCTTAGATGTGGGAGCAACTAGCATAACAACACGTACGCCCGGCGAGTGGCTGCAATTAAAATTTTAGTGCTCCGCAGGATGCGAGGGGGCCGTAAAGTGGGCGGGCATATGGAAGCTGTGGGCTGGGCATTTTGTTTCTAGGCATGCACTGGGCGACACGAGCGTCCGTTTGTCAAGCTCTCTCAAAACACACGCCGACAATTAAGCACACACACACACACGCATCTATACGCACATATGTTCGGGTCCAGCGCGCTGTTGCCGCAAATGCAAATCGAAAGGCGAGATCCTGCCGTGGGTATAAATAAATTGTGTTGCATACTTTTATGCGCCATTGCAATCGCTTGTTGTTGTTGTTGTTGCTGCTGCACCTGGCCGGACTTTCGGTCAATGACAATATTTGTAAAGCGCTTAATGATGCATGCGTGTGTGTGCGTGTGCGTGCGTGTGCTTGTGCGTGTGTATGTGTGTGTAGTGCTCTCAATTACTGTTTCCATAGCTCTCTCCCTCTCTCTCTCTGTCTCGTCCTCTAATGCTTTATGCATGTAGAAGTTTTTGGCAATACTGAACAGCGTATGTTACGCACACACGCACACGCACACACACACTTATGTACACACAATTTACTCTTCCGTGCTGTCAACACAGCTCGCTCTAGTGCACGCAGTTGGCAGGGTTGCCAGCTGCTTGTCAGCGTGATAGCACTGCAACCCATTAAATGGAAGAGTTTACAACTATTTTTCTGTTTTCTATGTATTTCTTACAAATGCTTGCCAATGTATAAATACAGAATTCGCCTTGCACACGCATTCGTTACTAAACACTGGCATTTCGATTTTTCCATCCTCTCAATTTCAACTTCAACATTTAATTATCACTTTTATTGTATTTTCATCGCCTCCAACTCAATTTAATGGATGCTACATAAGTAGATTTGCTTAAGGCTGTGCCCGGCAAACAAACAAACCAAAATTCCTTCTACATAACTCCAGTTGGCAAAGTAAAGTGAATGTCCCGTGCGGCAAGGCATTCCTGAAGCATAACTAAATGTAATTAAAAATCGTTGGCATGCATTGCAATTGTAATTTACTGAAGAATTTCATGCAATGCAATTATGAAGAAATTCCAGAGACGAAGTTGGCCCATCTGGCAACCCTGGCCACTTGCGGCACACAGTTTAAGAGTCACAGAGAGCTGGAGGCAAGGCGGGATAAATCTGAATTTTACGCAAATAAAACAAAATATATATAATTAAAATCTATTGTGCGTGTCCATATATGTGTGTGTGTGTGAGTAGTTATTTAAAACTGTTTTGCCAACATTTTCTTTATTTCTGTCAACGACTTCTCCCTCTAATAGATTGTAATTATAGGATTTGCCTGTCGGTCTTATCGTTGCTCACATTTGTATTTAGTTGATGGTGTTTGGTTTGACGCCGCAGCACTTGTTGTTGTCTCCTGTTGTCGTTGTTGAAGAGTGTGTAATTAAATGTCAGCTACAGTTTGGAGCTGTGACACGAACACGTATCGAATTTAACAGCAACGGGCGAGTCTCTAAAAAACACGCAAACAAAGTTTGACAGTCACACGTTGACAAAGTTCGACAGTCACACCCACAGACGGTGACAAAGCTCAGGCATTGATAAAGTTCAACAATCACGAGCTTAGATTTTGGCAATAAAATATTTTAAACGAAAAAGTATACTTTTGGCTGCACTTTAAAGCGTCCTACAGTTTGAAAGTCACTGAGTCATATGAAATCCTTGTGCATAGTTGTGATTTGTAATTGTTAAAAATCATATGTAATTCCAATTTCACAATCATAGACAAATTTGAGAACAAAATAAAAAATGTTATAGGCAAAAATCTCTACAGTTTGACAGTCTTAGGTATGTAAGTCTGACAACCACTTGATAGCGAATTTAAGGCCTAAGTACATGTAATTAAAGTTCTTTACGATTAAGAAACATAGGTTGCTTTCGTAGTAGATCTTTATTCAAAAATTTCTCAAACAGAGGCACAGCTAACGATCGATCTCACCAAAAACAATGTCCAGTGAGCCAATAATGGCCACAACATCGGCCAAGAGGTACGACGGCGACAGCTTGCTAAGCAGGGCCAGATGCGTATAGGAGGCAGCCCGAATCTTGCAGCGATAGGGCCGCGAGCTGCCGTCGGAGATGAGATAAACGCCAAACTCGCCCTTGGGCGACTCAATGGCCGTGTAGGTCGCGCCGGGCGGCACGTTGTAGCCCTGTGAGAAGAACTTGAAGTGATGGATCAGATCCTCCATGCCCGTCTTCATCTTGCTGCGCTGGGGCGGCGCCACCTTGCGATCGTCGACCTTGATGTTGCCCGGGGGCATCTGGTCCAGGCACTGCAGTATGATGCTGCACGACTCGCGCATCTCACGCATGCGCACCAGGTAGCGATCGTAGCAGTCGCCCTGCGACCCGATGGGCACATTGAATTTCATTGCGGCATAGGCATCGTACGGCTGCTGCTTGCGCAGGTCCCACTTGACCCCAGTGGCCCGCAGCACGGGTCCCGTGCAGCCGTAGTTGAGTGCCTCGTGCGCCGAGATGCGGCCGATGTCAATGTTGCGCATGCGCCAAATTCGATTATCGGTGACAACGTCCTCGACCTCATCTATGCGATGGGTGAAGTCCTTGAGGAAGTGGTACAGATCCTTGCCATAGCCCAGAGGCATATCCATGGCCACGCCACCGGGCCGTATGTAGGCCGCGTGCAGACGAGCCCCGGACAGACGCTCGGAGAACTCGTACAGCTTCTCGCGTTCCTCGAACAGCCAGAAGAGGGGCGTGATGGCGCCACAGTCCAGCACAGAGGTGCCAATGGCCATGGTGTGATTGGTGAGGCGCATCAGCTCCCCGCACAAGGTGCGTATGTACTTGGCCCGGGGCGGGACCTCGATGTTCAGCAGCTTCTCCACGGCCAGGGCGTAGGCCTGCTCGCAGGACATGCAGGACACGTAGTCGGTGCGAGCGAAATAGGGCACGGCCTGTGTATATGTCTTGTGCTCGATCAGTTTCTCGGTGCCGCGATGCAGCAAGCCAATGTGAGGATCGGCCGACAACACCGTCTCGTTGTCCAGCTCCAGCATCATACGGAGCACGCCATGGGCCGCCGGATGTGCAGGTCCAAAGTTGACGAATTTCGAGCGAAATGTGCGATCAATGGGCGGAACGAACTTTCCCTTCGGATTCGGCGGTTTCTTCCACTCATCGCCCACGGGATAAAAGACTATATTCTCGGACTCCTTCAGATACTCCGGATCCGGATACCAATAGTGAGTGTTGCCCGGCTCATACGGCGGACCCCGTGGATGGTAAGCGTCCCAGTCGTAATCGCACGGCGGCTGCTCGCGACAGCACTCCTCGCTAGACTCTGTGAATGGAAGGTAGCTCTGGTTAAATAAATTCCCAGCAACTGAGCCAATCGCACTTACGCGAAGACGTAAAGTAACGCGAGTTTATCCACTGGGGCATTTTCACTGACCATAAGGGTCGCTTGAAGTTCCACTTGAAGTTGTACGCACTCGGCGATAGGTATTTCTTTGAAAATGTGTTTCGAAAGGCATTGAAGCGACTTATCTCCGAGGGCGTGAATAGCTTTTCCGCGATCTCACGGATTTTATCCATACGCGGCGGCATTTTTAAGGCGAATGTGGCTAGAAGTAGTTTGTAAATATTTCTGAATATTCTAATAATTAAGAGAGATGATGTTTAGAGCTTATAAGTCTTTGCAATTGACGAGTTTTACAAAGACTACTTCGATAATAATAGTTTGATGGCAAACTTAAATCGAAATCGAGACTCGACTTTCGTTAAGCTGAGCGATAAATGAACATTCCTTGAATTATATTAGGCGAGATTTGATTTTGCGTTTCTAATATCTATTATTATCTATTATTATGACAAATCGTATATAAATATTATCATACCTCAATACCCTAATTTCCCTGATAATCCTTAGATTTCTAATCCGTTTCTAATTGTTTTCGATTTACGTTTCATTCCACAGATCTTCGATGATCACTACCATTTCGCGCATCACAAGGTGTCCAAGCGTTCTCTGACGCCCGCCTCGCACCATCAGACCCGCCTCGACTTGGACGAGCGCGTGCATTGGGCCAAACAGCAGCGGGCCAAGTCGCGTTCGAAGCGCGACTTCATACGAATGCGGCCGTCGCGAACCTCATCCCGGGCCATGTCGCTGGTGGATGCAGTGTCCTTCGATGACCCCAAGTGGCCGCAGATGTGGTATCTGGTAAGTGGGTGAGCTGATGGGGCTTAGAGCTGAAGCTAAGCAATCTATATTCCACAGAATCGAGGCAATGGTCTGGACATGAATGTGATACCCGCCTGGAAGGAGGGCATAACTGGCAAGGGCGTCGTGGTGACCATACTCGACGACGGACTGGAGTCTAATCATCCGGACATTGAGCAGAACTACGTAATATAGACAACAGCATGCCTATATCAGGGGGCAGAGGTTTCTCTAATATTGTGTGTTTCTCCCTTCGACAGGATCCCAAGGCCTCGTACGATGTGAATAGCCACGATGATGATCCGATGCCGCACTACGACATGACCGACTCGAATCGCCACGGCACTCGCTGCGCCGGCGAGGTGGCTGCCACGGCGAACAACTCGTTCTGCGCGGTGGGCATTGCCTATGGGGCCAGTGTGGGCGGTGTGCGTATGCTGGACGGTGATGTGACTGATGCTGTGGAGGCGCGTTCGCTTTCGCTCAATCCGCAGCACATTGACATCTACAGCGCCTCGTGGGGGCCGGACGACGATGGCAAGACGGTGGATGGGCCCGGCGAGCTGGCCTCACGCGCCTTCATCGAGGGCACGACGAAGGGGCGTGGCGGCAAGGGTAGCATCTTCATTTGGGCATCTGGCAACGGAGGCAGGGAGATGGACAATTGCAATTGCGATGGCTACACGAACTCCATATGGACGCTGTCCATATCGAGCGCCACCGAGGAGGGCAACGTGCCATGGTATTCGGAGAAATGCAGCTCCACGCTGGCCACCACCTACAGCAGCGGCGGGCAGAGCGAGAAGCAGGTGGTCACCACAGATTTGCATCATTCATGTACCGCATCGCATACGGGCACCTCGGCCTCGGCACCGCTCGCCGCGGGCATTGCAGCCCTGGTGCTGCAGTCGAATCAGAATCTGACCTGGCGCGACCTGCAGCACATTGTGGTGCGCACCGCAAAGCCGGCGAATCTCAAGGATTCCAGCTGGTCGATCAACGGTGTTGGCCGACGTGTGAGCCACTCCTTTGGCTATGGCCTCATGGATGCGTCCGATATGGTACGCGTCGCGCGCACCTGGAAAACGGTGCCCGAGCAGCATCGCTGCGAAATCAATGCTCCACACGTGGACAAGTGAGTCACCGGACGGACGCCTGAATATATACGAATCGAATTTCATTTTCATTTTCGTTTTCCTCACTCTTGCAGAGCCATTCCGCCACGCAAGCACATCACATTGCAACTGGCCGTCAATCACTGCCTCTCGGTCAATTATCTGGAGCACGTCCAGGCCAAGATCACCCTAACCTCCCAGCGACGCGGCGACATACAGCTATACCTGCGCTCGCCAGCCAATACGAGGGTGACGCTGCTGACATCGCGGTGAGTTGAGTGAGGGACGAAGATGGATAGAGTTGATATGCATATGAAGTTTCTATAGTAATCTGAAGTGATTAGAGTAAAGAATTCAAGTTCACAATATACATTATTGAATATCTCTAAGCGAACTCTAGTAAAACGACTCCATTGCATATTCCCGCACAGCATTCATGACAATTCACGTTCCGGCTTCAACCAGTGGCCCTTCATGTCGGTGCACACGTGGGGCGAGTCGCCGCACGGCAACTGGCAGCTGGAGATACACAACGAGGGACGCTACATGGGTAAGTTTGCGCCACTATATATATAACTAGAGCTATGTATGTGTATCAAGAGCTGTTCAAACGAAACAATTTTACATGCTGCGCTTTCTGTGGAACCACACACAACCTAACACGCATCAACTCACCCATTGCTAATAAAATGTCCACCACAAAAAAAAAAAAAAAAAAAAAATACACCTGCATATACGAATCAGGCCACGCCCTGTTGCGCGAATGGTCGCTGATCTTCTATGGGACCACGCTGACCATCGATCCAAAGGATCCGATATCGACGCCGCGCGGCGTCAGCGACGAGCAGGCAACCACGCCCAATTCGAGTGGAGGTCAGGGCAGCACCAGCAGCAACCTGCACCAGGTATATTCGCCGCAATATCCCCTCATATCGCCCAACAATTTCGCCCAGATGCCGGCAGGTGGGGCCAAGCTGCCACTGGGCAAAATGCCGCCCAATAAATCCAATTTGGTGACCAACAATCCGTTGCCGCCGGTGCCACCACCCAAGCAGGGCTATCAGCAGATCTCTGCCACATATGGTGTTCTGCTGGGCAAGACCAATAGCAACAGCAACAACAACAACAACAGTAAGGGAAACAACAAAGGCAACAACAAGGGCAGCAAGGGCAACAAGTCTGGCAATGGCAAGGCCAACAACAGAAAGGAACAAGCCATGCAGAGCGGCAACAGCAACAGCAGCAGTGGAGGTGGCAGCAACAAGAACAAATATTATCGCATATCCCAGCAGCACAGCGGAGGCGGCGGCGGAGGAGGCGGTGGCGGTGGCGGTGGCAAGTCCAAGGGCCAGGCAAATGGGCTGCAAACGCAACGACCAAAAGGCAGCTCAAGTGAAAAGTTTTATGATGAAAAAACGCGCAAAGTCATAGGCGAAATTAACAATAGCAACTCGAGCAACAGCAGCAGCAGCAACAGCAACAACAATCGTGGCAATAATGGCTCGACGGGAGCACGCCTGCCCGGCAAGGCGGCCAAACAGGTGAAGGACAACAGCCAGCAGGACTCGCGCATACCGAAACTATTCGAGCACTACGAAAAGATTCAGGCCATATTTCCCGAGCTGGAGCCCTACGTGACCAGCAGCCAGCCAAAGTCCAAGCCTGCTACGCACCAACAACAACAACAACAACAACAACAACAACAGCAGCAGCAGCAGCCGACGCCACGCAAACAGGGCAAGCAATTTGAAGTGGACCTGTTCCGGCCCACAATGGGCAATGCCGGCAGTAGCAGCAGCAGCAGCAGCAGCAACACCGGCAGCAACGGCAGCAGCAGCAAACCAGTCAACAGCAGCAAACCGGGCAACACAAAGAAATCACCGTCCGCACCGCCGCCTCCATCGCACTCAATGCTGCCCGCGGGCGGCAGCAGTTTTTTGCCCGATCAGCGCATACTCAAAAAACAGCAGCTGCTGATGGCCGCCGCCGGTGTCCTGGCGCCCCAGGACGACAGCGCTGATAATGCGAATGCCAATGTTGACTCCGAGCAGGCGGCTGGCGATGATGACTCTGAGGAGACTATTTTGCAGCTGGCGCCGAGCAGCTATCGCAAGGGCACCTCGACAAACGGTAGACGGAAAAGTGCACTTAACTAGCTCCAAGCTGATTTTGCCTAATTTCCTTTACTCATCTTCTTCATTTTTTTCTTGTCTGCACAACGGGCCCAATGTGAGAAAGCAATGCACTTGATGTAAACAATGGAAATGCGAGAGAAACCAAATCAATATGTTTTCTATTTTAACTTCTTCTTAGCTGCCTCTCGGCTGTTTGCAGTTGGCTGAGCCTCAGCTGAAGCAATGCCTTTTATTAGATTTGCCCTTATTAGTTGATAATATTCCTTATAATCCTTGCAATCACTGGAATATATAGTCCACTCTAGACTGGACCTAACAGAAATTTCATTTTGAATATGGTATATAAAGATCTCTTTCAATAAAACAAATTTGTATTATAACTAAAATGTTGAATTAGTTATAAAAACTTAAATGAATTCACTTCACAAATATTTTTAAAATACCTTCAACATTACTGCATACAAAATAGGATCTTAAATTCCTTTCCAACCCACTTCAGCCATTCTCTAAATTCAACCATAAATCAACGTCAAACGAAATTCTATAGAACTATCGCAGAAATGAAAAGACATGGAATACTATCGATTATGCCAGCGATAGTTTTTACCTTTTTGTCTGCCTTTTGTCATAAGTTTTTGAATTTGAGCGCCAAGTTTAAGTAAAGTTAAATACTTGAATGTAGGAGCTCTAAAGTTTGCTCATAATATTCTTAGTGAACAGTTTGACAGCCACTGGCAGACTTTCATCAATCAAAGCTCAAACCAAAAAGTGCAGACTGCAAACTGCAAACGGCCAACAGTTAACTGAGCAGAGTGAAAAGTGCAGGATGCAAAGTGCAAGTGTTGTTCTTATTGTTGGTTGTCAGCAGCCAAAAATATACGCAGCACATTTATCACTTGGCCTCAACTTGAAAATTGTGTGTATTTAGCCTTTGTCACATCATTTGTTTTGTTCTCTGATAGATTTATTGCCCCCTTGCACGCCCCGTTTGCCATTGCATAAATCATATGCTTACATTTTTGTTTTCATTCGTTTGGTTTTTACATTTTCCAGGAATATTTCCATTTCAGTTTCATTTGTAATTTTGTTGTTGTTTATTTTTCGCATATTGATTTTGATTTCGAACTGAAGCGATTCGCAGCCGGCTCTAATACAATTTGATTG